TTTCATCTTTTCACGGTGTATAATTTACCTTTTCATCATTACTGTTTTATTTTATTCTCTTTTTATTTTTATATTTACTGTTCCATTACTCTCTTTTCGTTTTCTCTTCATCTTTCTGGGTTTTTTTTCAATCCTTCCTTTTTCCCCGTTTTTCATTTTATTTTGATTTAAAACTGTTTCAACTTTCCATTACTCTCTTTTCTCGTTTCCACCAATCTTTCTTCCATTATATCCATAATGGGATATCATCATTTATTTCCCATTTGGCGCCGATTTCGGGTCCTAGGGCGCTTCTGTCCGTGTATGGTAAAAAAAAAAAAAGAAAGAAAAAAAGAAAAGAAAAGAAAAACACTAACAACAACGACAATTAAAGTAAATGGTTTGACCCAGGCGTTGAAGTTTTGAAATGTGGTCGTCGCGTCTGGATGAGTGTAGTCTTGAGAAAAACCTGAGCGGAAGTCACCACCAACAACAGTCTTTCTCTAGACTACACTCACCCAGACGACCACATTTCACAACAAAAACAGTTAATATAGTCATGCTCATGCTTGTTGTATCGTAGATGCACGAGCCAGACGTTCCGTCAGATGTTTTCCATTCCAAGAGGGTAAGTACATGTTAGCTTGATCATTCAATTCGTAATATTTACAAAAGTCATTTTGTTATTATTTCTAGTAAATCCAGGTAAACGCATTGTTCTTTGTGTTTCGTGCAGGAAGACGAACCAGACCATTTCACAGCTGTCTGTTATGCTGATGATAACATTATGTACACAGGAACAAATGAAGGTAAATGAACCTGAAGAAGCGCCCCCGAGGTTGGGAAAAAAACTGGGCCAAGTTGGCATTGCAGTGCATTGTGAGGCTGTTTAAGGGGACGACGCCATCTTGGAAATATATATCCCACAATGCACTGCAATGCCAGCTCGACCCAGGTTTTCTCCCAACCTCGGAATGGCTAATAGAGGGTAAGACCTCTTTACTTTGAGGGTGATGTTTCCTATTTCAGACCACGTGCCATTCCCTAGAGTATCATTTCTTTGTTTAACGGTTGCACATGAGAAGACACATAAATATGGATACAACGAAAACAAAGAACCGTATTCTCTAGACGACACGTGGTCTGAAATTAATGGAAAACATAACGCCCAAAATAATAAGGTTTATAGAAATTTCTAGCGATCTTTAAAAAGTCCTTTTTTTTTTACACGAGGGTAGCACTTAATAGCCCGTGGCTAACAAACCTGTGGCCCTCATTCCGTGATCGAATTAGAATTTAGGAGTTGATTTTTGCGGAGGTAGGAAAACCGGAGAACCCGGAAAACCCTCGAAGCACAGGAAGAACCAACAAACAACTCTACTCATATACAACACCGAACCCGGCGGGACTCGAACTCGGGTCGCATTGATAAGAGGCAAGCGCCCACACCACTACGCCACCCGTGCTTCTTTGACCTTCGACCCGAATTTCGGGCTCCCTGTGTTAATATTACTACTCTCTTGTTCATCTTATGTCGTGTTTTCTCACAGGGGTTCTACTTGCTTGGGACACGCAACAGAACAAGTGCTTTATTCACTGGAAAGCTGATTCTGCTGAGATAGGTATTGATGTTGAACATTATATAAAAACTAAAGATGACAAAACGATATCTCATTTCCACAAGAAGAAAATCTCATTTCTTTTTGTTCGTTCGCTCGTTTGCTCGTTCGCTCGTTAGTTTATTTGGTTGTTTGTTTGCGCGCTTGAATTCCTTCAAAACGGAGCTATCTTCGTAAACGGAGAAGGTTTTTCTCGTCATCTGTGCGCAACAGCTTTCCCTCGCACTTTTTTCGTGCTTTCATTTAGTACTGTATCACCGAACGAAGTACGAAGTTCAGAAACGACCATCAATCTTTAAAATTCATCCAGAGCGCACTTAACATGAGCCTCGAAAATGGTGGCAAAATTTAATTCCTCTGTCTCGTCTGGAAAATGGTACTATGCGGTTATTTCAAAAAAAGATCGGCGAAGGTTTTGTTGCATGAAGAAATAGAAAACGCGCGCGTGTTGTGGGCAATTATAAAGCAGGCGGGGGTTTGCAGAACCCAAGAGAAGTGTTAGGAGAAGCACGACGCGTAGCGGAGAGCTTCTCACCACTTCATCAATAGTGTTCCACTTATCCCCAAGTGCTTGATAACTGCACTCAGTACAGCAAGCAAGTTTTATTTGTTTATTTTTGATGAAATACAAATTAGGATAACCGTTATTTTGGATACGAATGACAAAAACAGAAAGTGCGCGCGCGTGCTGTGTTCTCTTATAAATATTTGCTTTATTTCAATTTTTTTTTCCTTCATTAAAAATAATGGGCATCAGTGTTAAAAAAAATCCAAATGCGAGTTAATAATAAACAAAATGATTACAGGACTCGCAGAGAGACAGAGCGCGCGCTCTCTTTACTGAAATATGACGTCACTCAAACGGAAAATGACTTCCGGGATCACTAATAAAATGGAAGCAGGATTTTCACAGTTTGGCTTAATTTCTTTCCTTCTTACGTTGTTCGGTAGCAATAATTTCAATCCCAAATTCCAAATTTTTTACATCCATATTTCCATATTTTAATATCACGTCTTCTTTCGGATTCCCAGAATGCTTTGTTCTCCCACGTATTGTCCATTATGACGTCATTAATTAATTAAGTGACGCAATAAAAGCAGCTGATTCGATTAGTTAATCATTTTGAGTTTAGACAGTAAACATGGCGGAGCGACAAGAAACAAATTATTACAATATGAACAAACAATGCTTGATCAGTCAACTTAAGAGCTTCAAAAATGCGGTCAAGCAGAGCGTGAATGAACTCAAGCTAAAAAAGGAAGAAATCCAAGCCAAAAACCAAATGGTACGAGAGTTACAGCAAGAAAAACGGAGACTGAAGGAAGAAGTAGAAGAGCTAACACAAGCATATCACGATTTAAATGCAGAGATGTGCATAAAGAAGGTCGAAGAAAAATTGGTGAGCTATGGCTACGAGGAACTCAAGGAGGATAATGAAGAGATGAAGAATAAACTAGAATGCCAGAATGTCCAACAGAAAACACTTGAAGATGAGATCCGAATGTTGAAGGAAGAAGCTGAAAGCCAGCATGTGCAGATGGAGATAATGGTACAGGAGAACCGAAGCTTAATGCAAAAAGCCGACGACCAGGTGACCCAACGAGATTTACTAGACAAGGAGAACTAAACATTAAAGACTGAAGCGGAAAGCTTCAAAAGCCAGCATGTGCAGATGGAGATAATGGTACAGGAGAACCGAAGCTTAATGCAAAAAGCCGAAGACCAGAAGATCCAACGAGATTTACTGGACAAGGAGAAC